AATATTTATTCTATTCGTTAGCAACTCTTCTTCTTCTTCTTCTTCTTCTTTCACTTTTTTATAATCTTCGAGAAAAGCAATGATACTAATCATTTCTTTATACTTAGAAGAAAAAAGAGAAAGTACAAAAAAGACACACAAATATATATATTTATCCTATTACATATATATATATATATATATATATATATATGTGGATGATCGTTACGTGTGCATGATACCATAAGATATTTGATTACAGTCTCTGTTGACACAGCTCGTGTCTGGATATTCAGCAGTACCATCTGCTAACGTTATTAAACTTCCTTCACTTTCAATTTCAAACATATTTTTTTGTCTTCTTCTTCTTCTTCTTTTTCTTTTTCAACTCTTCTTCATCCTATAAACGTGGTACAATATAAATCATAATCTGCTTATATGATTGGTTAGAAATAGAAACAAGTAATGTGTCCTACATATACGTTGTTTAATTCTTAAAAAAAAATATATATATATATATTTATATATAAAGACAAGACAAACTTTTGAAAATAACATTTCAAAATAAATGTTTCGAAGAAAAAAAGAAAATTATTTCTAAAAAGTATTTAACATAAATCATATATAGTCTAATTAAATGTTCATTATAAAATGTTGTGTGGTTCCTAACAATTTGGTGTACAGATAACCAAATAAATATATACACATATACATATTTATATATTAAAACAGGTCTATTATTCATGACGAAATTAAACTTATTTTTAGTTTAAAAAAAAAAAAAATTACTTTAGCATGAAATAAAAAAGAAAGAAAGAATGAAAGGGTCATCGCCAATACGATAGGACACTTCCTTTCTCACGTTACGTTATCAGTTTTACTTGTAACTCTATATATATATATGTGTATGTGTGTGTATTTGTGTGTATGTATATGTGTACGCCTGTTAACAGAGAAAGACATTTTTTTTTTTATATTTTCCTTTTTATTATTTTTCTTAAGTGCCGATAAGGAAGAATTACGTGTAACAATAGACGAAGAAAGTTAGATATGTTTCACGTACGTGTCTGTACTGTTAAGTTATAAAAAAAAAGAAAAAGAAATTAACACTAGATATACCACCAGAGTAGTAGCCATTTTAATTCAAAATTTTTATTTCATGTAATATTTGATTTCTATAAATAATTAAGCGTTTTGTTATTTCAAAATGTCTGTAAATCCATTTATCTTAATATTATATTAGATTTATAATAAAAATATAATTAATAATAATATATATAATATTATTATATATTAATATATATTATTTATCGTAATAAGAAATTTGAATCGTTATTTGCAATCATATTTTTTTTTTACAGCAGTGAATTTTAATTGTATTATTATAAATGATATATTAAATAATATCAATTAAATGTAAAGGATAGTTGTTAAATGCTCATTTCAAATTCAACAAAAGAAAACAAAGAATAATAAGTTAACTTTTATACTTTTGTGTATCCGTTTATGAGTCAAACACGTCCGCTTGCAAGTCAAACAACGCATTATTCCTTGACCCGACCTAACGAAACCCCTTTTCATATTCATTAAAATCATTTTTTTTTCTTTTTATATGTTTCTTCTTTCTGACCCAATCAATCCGAGAATGAAATTTCACGCTTAAATGCATTTTACTGTATTTTTTGTTGTTGACAATATTTGATATATACACCAAACTAAATAATAATTGTTAATTCTTGTAGATCGAATAATAAGATAACGGGTGTTTTATATTTTTTCTTCTTATTTTGATTTCGAAAACAATTTACCAGCACTCGATATAAAAAGAGAAAAAAAAAGAAAAAAAGAAAAAAATATTTGAAACGATTGACCAATGCAAACACACAACGGTGGGAAGGGAGGGGACATTGAAATTATTTGCATTTTTCTCGGACAAACTAATATTACATACAAAAAATATGCATGTATGCACCCAAGCAAGCACGCATGCATGCATACATTTTGGGTTTAGGTATCTCTCGAAAATCTTTTTTTTTTTTTATATTTATTTATATTTATTTATATTTATTTATATTCTCCTGTGCGGAGATATCCAGTAGGACTTTGTGAGCTTTTTTTTCTTTTTGTTTTTTTTTATCAATTCAATTTGAATTCGATCAAATTTTATCGAATTTCAAAATCAAGTATAATGTGAAATGCATAACTCAAAAGGAAGGAAGGAAGGAAGGAAGAAGAGGAAAAAGAAGAAGAAGAATGATGATACTGTTTTGAGATAGTCATATCTTTAGTTCGTCGTTCAAATTATCTTTCATGCGAGATCTTTTCGATTTATCTTTCGATTTATGTACAAGTTTATGTTTCTATTTTATTTTTAACAATTTTGTTCTTTTTCTTTCAATCGTTTTTTATTTTTATTTGTTTTTTTTTTGGATCACACGAACTTCATTGTGTTTAAAAAAGAAATAAAATAAAAAAAAAAGAAACTTTAATTAATTATATCATATAATTAAAAATTGTATCGCTAATAGAGATATTATAAAAATAAAACTAAAGAAAAATATTTCGCTTATCTCTTACGATAAGCTAATTATTTTCTTTCTTTTTTTTTTTTTTTTTTTAAACTGATAATGTACCATATTTTAAAAAGTTGATTCTACGAAGTCGTGCACTCTCTTTCTCTCTCTCTCTTTTTTTATTTTTTATTCGATGAGATATGTGCAAAGGAGAAAGAGAGAGAGAGAGAGAAAAAGATATATGAGAGAACTCAACTACTCTTGGTGTTCCAGGATAAGATTACGATAAACTGAGATCTCTTATTTTGTCTACGTGAACTTATAGTGTAGTCATGATACGTCTTTTATCAAATATTTATATATTATATGAAATAATAAATTAAAATATATATATATTTAATATTATAAATTTTTAAAACAATATAAAAATAAAACAAGAAAAGAAAGAAGAAAAAATCATAGGTTTAAAAAAAATTATTTGTAAGATTATTATTACATCCATATCCGGTTTAGTTAGCAACACAATAGATGTTGTAAATCTTTAAAAGACGAATATAAAAAATGATCTTTAACCGTTATTTGCATTTCCAAGGAAGATTGAATCTATGACAAACAATATTCTCTTCTTTCTCTCTCTCTCTCTCTCTCTCTCTCTCTCTTTTTTGTTTTTTATTTCTTTTCTTTTTTTTCTTCTTCTTCTTCTTTGCTTATCACGATCGATTCTTCCTACGAGAAGTTATGCGTTCTTTGAAAAGCCTATTACGGATTGACTTTTAGATGAAGAACCTCTTTTAGGTTTGTAAAAGTCCAGTGTCAAAAGGAACGCGAGTTGCATTGTATACGTGGAAAAAGTAACTTATGGTTGCTTATCCTATTATTCTCCTTTTTTTATGGGCCTTTTCTAAACACCCTTTCGTGACTGATGATGATACACACATACATACATACACATATATAAATATATATATATATATATATATATATATNATATATATATATATATATATATATATTATATACTTGGGTAGGCCAAAACTTCCTAGATCTCATTAATTCATTAACAACAACAAAAATATTCATTGAACAAAATATTTCTTCTCATCAAAATAATTGATTGTTCCTAATTCTTTATCAATTTTTTTTTTCATATAAAATATTCATTTTTATACACAAATATTAACATTTTAATGGCCGCTCGCACAACTTGTGTGTGATAGCCGGAACAACAACCATTATTGGCCATTATTTATTTATAATTTTTGATATATTTAAAATTATATATAAAATTAAATTGTTGTTTTTTATTTTATGCTAATTTTTTTCGTGAATTACAATAAAGTTTTCTTTAAATGAATTTTTCAAAAATATTACCGGCCTCTGGGGTGACGTTTGACTACGTAGTACGTTCGGCCATTAAAGTGTTAATACAAATATATTCATCTAATGTATTATTTAAAGAAAGTAACAAACAAAAATCATCAAAGTATATTGAAGTTAATGTGCGACACAAAACCATGATAGGATGGATGAACGTAAAAGTTGCATAACAAGAAACTCGGGTAGAATCTTTACGGAATGACCAAGGATTTTTGTAAGGTCTCTCTGTCTCAACATAAAAATCTTGACATCCTTTCTCATTCGGTTATATACGCGGGCAATTCAAATAGTCGTGAACGTTTTAGTCACGTGATACACATATCCGTTTCTTCTTCTAATAATTTATAAACAATATAATAATACAAACTCATTTAGATATATATATATATATATTTTTTTATTATTTCTTGCATAAGTAATGAATTCTATTTTTATTAGTCTTTTTTCTTCCACATTTTACAATAAACATGTGTATTATTATTGTTGTGTATGTGTAATATACCAATACACATCTAACGTTTTATTGTCTCACGAGTTTTTCTTTCTCTCTTTTGCACTAACAACACATCTACTAACAAGTTCTTATGTAAACGTGCATATAACAATACTAAGTCGCTAATAATACGTCTCAGCCCGCGGCGGATGCATTTTCCTTCTTCTTAACTCGAATCGCTGAAGCATTATAAGAGTCCTTTCAATACTCACGACTATTTTATAATGCAATACATAATCATCCTAATTCTTTTTTTTAAGACACACCATTTTACCATCTCCTTTTATTACAATTGCTTGAGAACACCACGTACACCTGTTGCTAGTTCAAATATTATAGAAAAATAACAAATGAAAAATACTATTACAATTTACTATATGACATCTAAAATAATCTTATATGTTCAATATATTATAATTGATATATTGAACAATAATATTAATAATAATTAATGTATATTATATATCATATCTTGACTACACACTATAGCTATATAATTATAACTATAAATACCAATATATACCTATATAACTATAGTATTATTTATACAGTACAGTATTTATATGGTACTATTATAGTACTAGGTGGAGTTTTCTTATTGGTATTGGTTATTTTCTTCTTTTTTTTTCTTTTTTTAGAACGAGAATCAAGATGAAGAAAGTGAAGTTTTCTTCTGGGATCCACCGTCTGTTAAAAATCGTAATTCGAAATATCAAAATCATGGGAGACAATTGCAAGAACAATTGGCACAAGCCACCATGAGAATACGTGAATTGGAAGCTGAACTTAAACGAACACAAAAGGTTCATCATATACACACGATACACACATACATATATAATAGATCAAAATACATTAATTAATAAATAAAATAAATTGATTTAACTATCTATATTTTATTTTGTCAATGTCTTAGGCTAACAATAATACGAGTATAATGGACGAACTTCCGGATGGTCATCATCAACTGGCAGAATATTTACGTGCAAAACAAGATATGGTCAATAGAATCGTACGAATGGAAGAAAAGGTAATAAATGTTTGAACTTATTCATTTTGATTATAATTATATATGTTGATAAATTTGATTGTTGATAATATTTAGAATCGCGAGGTTGAAAGAAACGTCAAACGAATGCAGGAAGACGAAATAGCACTGGTGAACGATTTCAATATGGTCATATCGAAATTGGATTATCAGGAAAAGGTCAAACTGTTTCGTGATGTATTGAAAAATTTGGAAAATGATAAACAAAAGTCATTGTTAATTGACAAAGAAAAAATGTACGATTATTCAATTGATGAGAAGATACTCGACAAAAGTAGCGAAAATAATCAATCGGAAAATTTGATATTGGATTCTCAGGAATGTTCTATGAGTAATAGGGAAATTGAATTGTCTAGAAAATTACTAGAATTGCAAGATGAAAATAAAAATCTTAATAACAGTTTGGAGGAACTTGATCGACAGCATGCACAATTTATTGAAGAATTATTAACATTGAAGAAAGAAAACGAGAAGAAACATCAGTGTCTACAAAATGCGTACGAACAACTTTATGTTGAACACAATCAAGCTGAAAGTAAAGTCTTGGAATTACAGAATAAACTTAGCATGATGGAAAAAAATAATAAATGTCATTTGGAAAAAGCTGAGAAAAATGTTCAAACGGAGGAGGATGATAATGAAAAAAATGAAACAAAAATAAATGACAAGGAGGAGTATGTTGATAATGGTAATGGTAATGATAATTTGTTGTACGAATTGGAACAAAAAGTAAAAGATATCTTGAAAAATTCGTGCATAGAAATGAATGATACAAACGAGTCGATTTTCGAGACTATTGCAAAACAATACGTCGAGGTAAATTGGAAGAAGGACGTTTTAGAAAGGAAGGTAACTGAGATTACGCGAAATCTAAATGAGAACACAGAAATGAGGGACAATTTGCAACTGGAATGCGAAGACATGCAGGCCCACATAGATTCGTTGCTTTTAGAAATTCAACATTTGAAATCAAATTTGCCATCTATTCCCGAAGCTAGCGAGGAACGTGTTGCATCCTTGGAAACTGAAACTGAATCATTGCAAGAGGAGGTTAACAAATTACGTCAAGAGAATGATAAATTGAAAAAATTACATGTTACCGATTCTATAAGAAATTTCGAAAACGGTTTATCGATCAATTCCAACGAGAATTTATTCGACGAAACAAAAGTTCAAAAAGTCACGATGATGAACGATGGTTATTGTAACATATTTAAAAATGATGAAGATTCTGTCGAAGATTTGAAACGTAGGTTGTTAGAATTCTCGAACGAAACCAGCGAATTACGAACGTCTTTGGAAAAATACAAAGAAACCATAGAGGAACTTAGATTGGGTAAAGAGAACATAGCTCATGAATTGAAAGCTTCAGTTTGTAGTATGGAAGAATTGGAAAGGGAACTTAAAGTTACTTTGAATATTAAGAACGAACTGGAACGTGAAAATAGCAATTTGATTAAGGAGAACGAACAGTATCAGGCAGATTTGATTAAATTGAAAGCAACCGCCGATGATTCGAAAAGAGTAGAAAACGATTTGTTGGAACAACTTCGTGAAGAATTGAAAAAAGTTAATATAGAAAGAAACCATTTGGAATATGATTTATTCAATATGAGAGAAAAATTGGACAATACTTTGCACGAGGCAAATCTTAGGCAAGATTTGATAGCTGAATTGACTCAAGAAAATGAGAAATTTGTCAAAGAAAATGCATCGTTGTTGGATCAATTGGCAGCAACTCAAGTAGAATCCCAAGAAAAGATAGAACTGTTGAATACAGAAAAATCTTTGCTCGAAGAGGAACAATCGGAACTTCGAGCGGAATTAAGCAAATATGAAATGACTAACGATTCGATAAAATCACAATTAGAAATTTCCGAAAAAGAAATAAGGGATCTTAATGCAGAGAATATGCATTACGTAGCTAAACTACGTAATAAATTAGTGGAAATGAAAGAATTGCAAGAAAAATTCAATGAGAAAGCATCTGTCAATGAGTTGTTGCAAAACAAACTTATGGAAACTGAAGTTGAATTGAATAATTTACGTTTGAAAGAAAAGGAAATTACTGAAAAGGAATTAAATTTAATGCAAAGCCGATTGATGGAAACTGAAAGTGAATTAAATGACTTACGTTTAAAGAACAAAGAGGATCAAAACGAGATCGCAATTTTGAAAAAAACCATAACCGATTTGAACGATCAAATTCGTTTGTTCGAAGAGAAATCTAGGCATTTGGAATCTCCAACGAAAGAAAATGACTTTGAGAGGGAAATACAAAAGTTTGTCGATAGTTTGGAAGAGAAGAATCAACAAAATGAAGAATTAAAAGATATAAATAATAAATTAAGGACAGAAATAGCAGAAATAAAAAATCAATTGGAGTCTAATAAAGAAAATGTTTCTATGGCTAAAGAGACCATAGAAAGTTTGTCGAATCTTATCAAAGAGAAGGACAACGAAATAGAATCATTGAAGATGAGCAATCAAGTTAACGCAGTTGATTCGAAAGATTTTCTTAATCTCAAAAATGAAAGGGACGAGCTTGTTAAATTGGTTCAAATAAAACATACCGAGAGTCTTCAGTATCATAGCGAAGTTAAAAGATTATCTGTACTATTGACGGAACAAATGTATCAAGCTCAAGAGTTGCGGAACAATATTTCCATGGAACAAAATAATATAGCTAATTTGTTAAATGACAAAGATCAAGAACTTGCAGAAACTAAAAACGAATTGAAAATGAAAATGGAACGATTAGAAAATAGTCAAAATGTCGATAATGGAGAAATTTGCAAAATCGCGAGTCATTTGAATCAATTACAGGAAATGGACATTCTTAAAGATAAATGTGATGCACTGGAAGCTGCCTTGATTCAAGAACAATCCAACAATAGAATGTTACAAAATCAATATGACGAAAGTCAAAGTAAATTAATGAATTCGGCTAAAGAAATAGACAGACTTAGGACGCATTTAATAGCGATAGAGAATAGTTACACGGAAGAAACTTTGAGGGTTGAGGATATGCGTAAAGAATTGGAAATCAAATTATTGCAAACGGAAGAGAAACTTAAAAATTCGTCTACCGTGTACACCTCCGCGAGTGTAAGGGCAAATCAAGAAATAGAAACGTTGCAACAACAAATGTTGCTTATTGTTCAACAAAGGGACGACATACAAAATAAATTGTCTATGGCGGAGGATAAAGTTTTGTCGCAGACCGCTGCACTTACTAATTTGCAAATAGTTTTGGAACAATTCCAAAGAGGTATAGAAAATGTTTTTCCTTGATGCAACAATTATTTTCGCAACAGCAATATAATATGATATATCTACTAATGCATATATGTGATTATTTTAGAAAAAGAAAGGGATATCAAGAGAGTTACGGAAAAATTGCAATTACAACTTCGAGAGTCCCATGAAAAACAAAACGAATTATTAAATGAAATCTCTTGTCTCAAGGTTTGTCCTTTTTACTCCTTTCTCTGCTAATTGTTTTATAAGAAATTGAAAATGAGATTATTTAATTGAATAAATAAATATAAACACACACGTGTAGGAACAATTAGTGGAAGCTCAGGAATATTTGCAAGCAGCTTCTAGATTAAGCGAACAACTGGATAAGAAAACGGAAAGAATAGATCAATTAAATCGAGAAGGTAACTTTTTCAAACACTTTACACATTTTTCCTATTTTTGTTTGCATCTTGTTCTCTTTACATTTATCGCATAGTTAGTGTTTTTGACATTTTTTTGATAATTTCACACGAATATTTATATTCAATAATTATTATTCGTTCTACCATGTTATTTTTTTCTTTTTTTTTTTTTTAAGTATAAATAATTAAACCTGGCACATACATTATTATATGCTTGTAGGATTTTGAAAAATATATGATGGTCGGTAATAAACTTGGGTATTTTTCCCCACTAAAATATTATTTACAGAACTTCGATATATACTCAAATTTGATAGTACTAGCGACAAGAATCAAAACTACATTACAATCATCGGTTTGACTGTGTATGCTGTGACTAATCTGTGAAAAAAAACAATTTACACACATTATAATATCTGGTAATGTAGTCAAATATCAGCTGGTAATTCTGGGATTAAACTGTAGCCCCAGGATTCTTGCTGGTATCCGGCTACGAACCAGACCCCACCGCCTTTGCACACTAAATCACATCTTGGTTGGCTCATGCGCGCATTGCCCCACTGGTGCTGGTGCTCTCTTCTTTCATTTTATTTTATTTTAATGTCAACACTTTCTTTGCTGAATTTTTTTCTTTGTTTTATTTAAAAAAAAAAAAAAAAAAAAAAACTACTGACATTGTAACGATTATATATAATTTTATTATTTCTTCATAAATATATAAAGATATTGCTCTCTCTAAAAAGAAAAAAAAAAAAAAGAAAAAAATTAATAAATTGTATAAAGATACTTGTATTTTGCAGCTTTGCTAGTCTTCCAAGACCTTAATATTTTACCAATACTCAAATGGCTTGATATATTTGATTATAACACCGTATAATTATTAAAAATTATTTTTAGTACGCATGCTACACGAGCAGAAACAAAATAATGTAGATAAATGAACATTTCTTTTTAATTATTATATACATCAACAACGTATTATTTTATTGAACTAAAATTAATTGAATATTAAAAAAGTATAAGCATTTTATATAATAGATCCATAAATAATCATTGTAAGCCTTGTATTGAATTATTTCAATTATGTATCATTTAAGGTATAGCAAAAATTAAATTAAATATAAATACAATATATAATATTCTGGTGTATATATTATATATAACATCAAAATATATTGTTAAATATCGTAGTATAGAATTGCATAATGCTTCGTAATAGATAGTTTTATTAATACATGTAAAAAAAAAAAAAAAAACATAAACTTGGTAACGTAGAAGTGGGTAATCTCATGCGGTAACCGTGAGTGTGTCAAATGTAAAAGCTCATATTACCTCGTGGGGTTTCCCACCCGTTACCAATATTCAGCAGAAAAAAAAGGAACTAAATTCTAAATTTATAATTCAAATCATAAATTGAAATATTGATATTCTATAAATCTTTAGATTAGAGAATTAATATCATACGCGATATATCTAAAAGTAGTTAATATAATATTTAACATGTTAAATGCCATGCCTGGTGTTTCCACAGACTGAAAACTTTGCCAAAATTTGTATTTGTTTTTCTACGATTAACGGGAATCATCCCAGTTGAAATAAAAAGTTCGACAAAAGAGAAGGCTAGGCGCTTAACATGTTAAAACAACAGCTTCCTTATTATACTTTTAGTAGCATGTATGAAAATATTAGTTTGCATAGAAACAGCATGATAAACGAAGAGAATGCAGCATGTGCAATTAAGATGTGGGTGTGAGTATTACATCAGGTACTGGTGTAATAACAAAACTACCAGTACTTGTGTTATACTTGCGCTCATGTCTGTTCAGAGTACCAATCTGCCAACTTTACAACGTCTCAATGAATGCACATGTATACAAAAATCAAAAATATTTGTTCTTTTTTGTTTTATTCTCTTACAAAAGGACGTTTCTTATTTTATTATCTATTTAATTTGGATTGTTGATATAACAAATAAAATCAATATGAAAAGCATTCGTTTTGTACTAGTACGAGATAATAATTAATATAAAAATGTATAACAGTAAAAAAAAAACAAAAAAAAAAAGAAACATAATTGATTTCGATTATTAATTTTCCAGTTGAAAGATTAATGGAATTGGAAAATACCGCTGAACGAAGAATAGAAGAAGCTACGCAAAGTGGAATAGGAAAAGTTGATAAGTGAGTTAAGATTATTTCTAAATTATATCTTTCTCTCTTTTCAAATGAATATTTATAATGAATTATTTGTCTTCAGGAATCTTATTAAAAATCTCTTGCTTGGATATTTGTCATCGTCAGCATCAGACAAATCATCCGTTCTGAGAGTAATCGCCACTGTATTAGATTTTACAGAAAATGATAGAGACAAAGCTGGTATTAATAATGCAGTTGCAAATAGCAGTTGGTTTTCGCGTTTTAGTGGAACTGGTACTCCAACCAAGGCAAGTATAAAATTCTTCGATTTTTCTATCTAATTATTTCAATATAATTTGTATTTATAATATAATTTAATATTATATTTTTGTAATATTTATTATAGGATCAAGAAGCTTCATTGTCAGCTGCATTTGTAAGATTTTTAGAAACCGAATCGAAACCAAAACCTCAATTACCTGCTTTGCCAATATCATCATCGGTAAGATAAATTAATTTATACATGTATTTATCTTTATCAACGATATAACAAATAATATATTTTTAGTCCTCACCTCGGCCAACACATAGCAGACAACATTCAACTTCGTCTAACCATTCGACATTATTGCTTTCCAATGTTACATTACCAACATTCCCCGACTTTGTTCCAGCCAGAAATACAGGATCCATTCTGAAAGAAGTATTAAAGGACAGCTGATATTAAAATAATCAATGCAGTAATTAATATATATATATACTGCAAACAGCATCCTGCTGTAAAAAAAATAATTCAATGATAAAATACAAGCTAAAAAATATCCTATCTATTATCGAGCCTAACTTTTTATTCGGACATTGATATATTGTAATATAATTGCGCTCTGAAAAGAAAAGAAAAGAAAAGAAAAGGAAAGGAAAAATAAACTGCCTTAGTAAGTTTTGTGCTGCATTTATCGATAGCTTGATCAAATCAATTCTTATAATCTAAGCCAGTGGAAAGAAAAACATAAATAAACGCGATAAACTTTAATTAGTGATGTGAGATTCTTTGAATGAAAAAAGAAAAAAAAAAGCAATAAAAAACGTTAAATATGTTGAAAATATTTTTACAGAGACGCCGAAAAAAAAAACAATTGTTCTTAATTCATATTAAGAACAATTATTCTTAAATTATTTCTATTTAAAAATTATTTCTATATTAAATCATTCTAAGAGCTTGTATAAATGAAAATAAATCTATTAATTTAAAATGTCACTTCTAATGTAATATGATTATTGATTTATTTTATTTAATGTTAAATTTGATTGCTAATTGTACATAATGAGTAAGTTGTTGAAAAATTGCACATATATTAAAGAAAAAAAAAAAGAGAAAAAAAACAAAAGAAAAAAAAAGAAAGAATAATAAAAATATATTTTGTTATCTTACACCATACCTTTTAGTTGTCCCCTTAACAATAAACAATCAAACTTTGTATGTATTTGTTAATATAATAAATTATGTATATTTGATAAGTTAACTGAATGTAAAATTGTAACATATCGCAAGTTCCAGTGTGAAGTATGTACTAAATTTTTGTCAAATGAAAAAACGCGCGCTTTTAAAGACGCGTCATGGATATTCAAAAATATTTCAGCGTTCCTAAAATTCTGTAATTTTATATCAAATTTTGAAGCTTTTAAAATTTCAATTTAAACAATATAAATGATGTATCAATTTTTGTGCTATTTAACATTAATAATAATATGTATGAACAATTTTGCGTAATGTTATTTCAATTATTATTTATATTAATTTTTGGTTCCATTGAAATTTAACAGATGGCAGAAGAGTTTGCAATTCGATATTTCTATTCGCTGATTGGTCGATTTAATTCTGACATCGAACGATGTATCGAAATATATCGAATAACAAATCGATACTGCAATTTTCTTCCCTGCAATGTGCCCAGCTGGCAATTGTCAAATAAGTTTAAGAAATAAATTTAAATAATAAATAGTGTTTAATAATGGAGGGTGACAAACGTACGACAAACACCGATTCTCAATTTATTTCGTTCCATGATTTTTCAACGATGAATCAACAAAGCAACGTTGGTCAAGCACAACTTGACATTGGTGCTTCCACACATCAAAATTTTAATAATTTACCTAATGATTCTACAGGAATTGGTATTCTTGAAGATTTAGAAGGCATACCCAACAGAAATGAAGGTTAACTATTGATGTAACATATTTAATTATTAACTTAATATACTATTTCTAATAAATATAACTTCAATATAATGTTGTATTAAATCAACCGATGAAATGTCATAATCATTTTTGATGTATTATTGTTAACTGTTATTTTATTTTTTCAGTGGATCAAACCCAATACAGTTTCTGGACTTTAGAATACTATCAAAAGTTTTTTAATGTCAATACAAAAGATGTAGTAGAACGTATCAAAAGATCAATGTTTCCACATAGTACAGAAAATTATTTGGTTACGCACATTAGACCTAATCCTGATTTATATGGTCCATTTTGGATATGTGTCACTTTGATATTTTCTGTTGCAATAAGTGGTAATATGGCTAACTATTTACAAACAGCTAGTTCTAGTTATTATCATTGGAGATATGACTTCCATGTAATATCCTATGCTGCTACCTCAATATTCTTGTATGCTTGGTTATTACCACTTGCATTATGGGGAGCATTGAAGTGGACAACTAGTATGAGAAATACGGAAGAAGAATTGATAGAAGTAAATCAATCAATTGTTCATTTGATTTTTTTCTAAGCGAAGCTAAAACATAAATATAAACATTCTTTTTTATTTTTAGTCATACGCATCTCCAGGACTTTTGGAGCTCATATGTCTTTATGGATATTCTTTGGCTATTTACATTCCAGTTGCATTTTTGTGGACGATACAAATCGGTTGGTTACAATGGATGTTAGTAATAGTTGCCACTTTTATGTCGGGTGGTGTTTTACTTCGTTCACTGTATCCAGTTATATCAGGTAATATAAAATACCTTTTATATATTTATTACATATATAAATATTTGTTGTATTTAATTAATAATTAAAAATCAATGTGTGTTATACAGGAAAGCATAGAATAATATACATCAGCGTTATCCTTGGTATGCATCTTCTTCTGGCGACAGGTTTTATGTTATGTTTCTTTCACGTTCCGTCCAAAACCTCGCCGCAACACGCCATGGAAATCTTATCTTCCGCGTTACCACCTACGGGAAATGTGCAGACATTGATGGAAAAGACAGGATCTAATGCGACGGAAAATACAGTGAATGCGGGAAATAAACTTTTAAATATTCCAAAGTCTACCATTGGAGCGCGAGTCACCTAAAAATATCTAATATTTAATAGATTTATGCTAAAGAGGCGGGTATCGTATAAATACGATGAGGAGTGTATGTATGATGTTTGTGTTACTAAGATGCTCTAACTCTAATGCAATTCTGCACGCGAAATATATCATCATGCAACGGGTTCAAATTTAAAGAATTTTGCGAAACGATGATCCGTTTATAAGCATCAGTATAATAAACGTATTCGAATGAATCGTACAAATCGCACATTATATTAAAGAGAATTTACAACAACTAAAAATCATCAAATTTTATGTTCTTAGAAAATGAAAAGATAGATCTTGTTTGTATTATACTTTTAAAAATAAGTTATAAAAATAATGAAGTGTAAAAAATAAGAACAAGAAGCTAATCTCTAGAATTCCTTATACCGTATTAATAATTGTTTTGATACGACAAAGTATTTACCCTTTTTCGTAATAAGTATTATATTTCTATATACATACACACACGTATATATATGTATATATATATTTAATGTTAGAACAAAAAATGAATACGAACTTTAAAGTGTTTGGTTGATTTATTTGGCAATCCTACTGTCGGTAAGATGAAGTAATATCTAGTACCGCAAGAAGGCAGCACAATTTTACTAGTCAGTAACAATGAAGTAATAGCTAGTATCGCTAGATGGCGAGACATATTTCAACAGTCGATAATAAAATTAAGATTTTCCAATATATTTTTGTTAATTGATTAAAAATAAATTCAACGTAAATTAAATTGTTTATATGATAAAAATAAATGTATCTTAAGAGTATTATAATATTTGTTTCTTCCTCAAACAAGATTAATATTTTTATAATGGCAGGTTGATAGTTCTACCCCTGAAAAATGATTACACTTGTAACACCATCATTTTGTGTTGTCTCGGTTGCGGTTATTTAGGCGCAAAAACAAAATTAAAACAAATATATAATTAAAATGATTTGTTTTTGGTTTTAAATATTAATAACAAAAAAAAAGAAGTAAAGAAAAAATTTCTTTTTCTTATAGTTCATGGTGTTTGACAGCAAGTTATCGATAAAATGTTCAACGTTACGGCTAATGCTAACAACGATTTTGGTCCAACTTGGTGATTATTATTAATTATTACTTTTGTTTAATTAAATTTCCTCTTTCTATTTTCATTTGTTCGTTTACTTCTTTATAGTTTCATTACGAGATATTACAGTCAAAGATTGCAAATAGGCAGGAGCGTAATCAGTAATAATAAATTCTACGGACAGTCTAAAAATTGTGTGTGTGTGTGTTTGTTACTTTTTTCTTCATTTAAACGATTAAAAATGTTTCACGCAAAATTACACCAGTTTTTAAATATACGATCGTAATAATCGTAAACGTGTTTCTCTTTCAAAGAATATATGCACATATTTTTATATATATATATATATATATATATATATATATGAATTTTTTTGTTTTATATAAAAGTGTGTGCATACATAATTTTTTACATAAAGGTTATTATTTACATATTACATTGTGCAACTGGGCATGTATTAATAATTATTATTAATGATAATAATTCATTGTAATGCATAATAATTTGTATTTTGTTTTTAACTGCAATTATTATAAATCAAACTCGAGAAAATAAGCACACGTCTCTTTCTCCATTTTTTTTTTCTAATTCGCACGCGGACGTTTTTTTTTTAGAGCATTACACACAGATACAATAATTATAATTATAAATCTTAATAATAATAATAATAATAATAATAATAATAGTAATAATGATGAAATTGTTTGCTGTTACCCTGGTATTTAGTTTAAATTGATTACTTACACGTTTTACAATATACGTATATCGATAATACACGTAAAAGTATTGGCATGTAAATTATTTTCGTGTGTGTGTGTGTGTTATTTTTCTTCTTTTCTTTTTTTTTTAAATCTATATATACATAATATTATTTTATAATATATACAATCGGACTGTTCTAATTAAACTACTAACGTTTGGTTAGTATTTCGTAGTTAATTTATGCGAAAAATGTTATACAATAAAAAAATCAGGTTGATTATTCAGTCGCATGATCGATAGATCGATCGATCGATCGTTTGATCGTATCAGTCGATAATGTAGTTTTCTTTTTATTTCATTGTTTTTGTTTGTTTGTTTTTTTTTTTGATTATTTTTATTCGTTCAAGAGCTTTTTTTTTAATTACAAAAAGAATTTAAAAAAATCGAAATAAAAATGGGTATGGGTGGTAAGGGGTTAAGGGGGAAAAAGGAAAGGTGATGGATGATGTGCAGTGTTTTTGTTTCAATCTTTGAAAAAGTGAATTTTTAGGGCCATAAAACAATATTTGACTGAACACACATAATCTAATTACAATTCACGTTTCTTGTTCATTTATCTGGTTCCTTTTTCACATTTTCTATCACTCTCTTTTTCACTTTTTGTTTGTTTGTGTTTGTATTTATTATTATTATTTTAAATTCATTTCTCAATCTCACACAATTGTAATAAATTAAATTACATTATTCATAATATTTTTGTTAACTATCATTTTTATTATTTCACCCATTCTAAGGTATCTCAGAGCATCATAATTATTCCATATCATTTTATGTAATAATAATGATAATAAAGAGAAAATAATTAATAATAATAATAATAATAATAATATTAATAATGATAATAATAGTAATAATAATTTATCTCAAATACACCGTACATAATATTATTAATCATATCGCATGATTAGCGGCCAAAACCACTCGATTATTATCTTAAGCATTAGTCTTTAGTGTTTGATTATTATGCTACAATAATATACAATAAACGTGTGTTTTCAATTTTTTAGTAGTTTTCTTTTCTTTCATTATCCTTACATCATCCAGTATTTTTTTTTCTTTTTAAATATTTTTTCTTTTATATTGAACAATTACGTCACGTTGGTAGTACACTCGCCTCTCTATCGAAGCATCGAAATCTCTCCTCAACCATGACAACCACGACGCCATATTTCTTTATTTCTATTACTTTGATTATACTTTCAAAAAAGAAAAAAAAGAGAGAGAGAGAGAGAGAGAGAGAGAGAGAAAAAAAATGATGAGCATTTTGTATTTAACAAATTTTAATGAATTATTTTGAAAAAGGGTTGAGGGGATTGTGAAGATAAATCGATAGACGACGATTTAATTGAATTACTACAGCACATCGCGTTAATTACAATATAATAATATAATATAATATAATCTAGCTAAATACAATCGGTTTGTGTGTGTTGTATATTAAAATATAAATATCAAATAGACTTCTTCCTTGTCCCTCTCCCCACTAAAAGGATATATGCACCTTTATTTTATATATACATATGTGTATAAGTGTATTTGTGTTCCTTGTACGTACGATGTGCGTACGTGTGGTTACATCATTGCACGCACATGATTTATGTCTATTTATGTGTGTGTGTGTGTGTGTACATGTATTCCATATATTTAATGTAAAAATTCGAAGTCATTATGTGATGTCTCATTAATTTTTTTATTTATTAAAGACAGAGAAAGAGAGAGAAAGAGAGAGAGAGAGAGAACTTTTTTTTCATTTTTCAGTATCCATTTTTTTGTTGTTCTTCTTAAATAATTTTTTATCTCTTTCTATTTCTCTCCTTTTTCTTCCTAATTATTTTATTGACAAAAATCATTTTACAACGATGACAGAAAAGATTTTATTTTATTTTATTTTATTTTAATTTACTTTTAATTTCCCCCCCCCCCTTTTTTTTAATTTACCGAATGAACTATCTCCAAGGTCAAACTAAACCTAAGCTTTGTACTCTGGTCGACCATCGAAATAATTCTGTACGTGCAAGCAATATATTATATATATATATTGCATCGTATATGTACATGTGCATGTATGTACATTCATGTACGTGTACATATATACATACATACATACAAATGTACTTTTAAACCACACATACGAGCACAAGTGTACACGTACAAACGATTGAATGGGAATATATGTATATTATAATACAAATACAAATACAAATACACACACACACACACACAATTTATGCACACAGTTATGTATATGCGTATATGTATACTTCTATATATATTATTAAAAATAATAATAATAATAATATCATATAACAGGTGTCTTGTGAACGAGTGTGTTTATCCCAATTCGATTAAATACAAAAAAAAAAAAAATGAAACAATATTTGAATTAATTAATTCGGTAATCATAAGGGAAACAATTATTCAAAACGAAAGAAATAAAATGGCGACGATAATTCTGCAGCCATTTTATTTTAAATTTAAGGCACGCGCTACTGTTCAAACCAAAAACCAAAAAAATAAAATAAAATAAAATAAACAAACAAAAACAATTACCAATTAACATCGCTAAATATTAATTGCTTCATTTAATATTATTCTCCCTTTTCTTTTTTTTTTGTTAACAACAAAATTAAAAATAATAAAAAAAAAAATCTTTCATTTAACCTAATTGTCCATACTCAAGAGAACAATGTAATATTTAATAATAATAATAATAATAATAATTAATATCGTGTATCGAATTTGTTGATATTTTTACAGTTGTGTCTGTGGGTTTATTTAAAAAATAACGCATACATACTTACACACTTTATACACGCATACATACATACATATAGGATACACACACATGTAAAATACGGAAAATACATAAAGAATATTAGAAACGGGACACCCGTTATATGTAAATATACGTGGGTACGTATTAAATCATTTCCGGTACGTGTAAAAGTGAAAGAGAAGGTATTTAAATCGTATCGGAAATGTGTATTGTTTTTTTTTATTATTTTATTTTTTTTCTATCGCCAAATAGCGTAATACTTTGTGACAGACTTTGCTGGCTTAATAAAAAGCTTTCGTGTTACATTCTAAATATAATATATTATGAATATATCGCATTATTATCATTATTATTATTATTATTATTATTATCCTTTTTAATTATCTTTGATTAATAATAATAATAATATTAATAATAAAAATTGTCTTCTTTTCATTCTCTTTCTT